GTCCCCTCCAGCCACACAGCCAGACACGGGAGGAGCCGGCCACCCCTCTGAGAAAGGGCTCCCAGGGCATGGGGGCAGCTGCTCTACCCCTCGCTAGTGAGGGAGACCCTTCTATTGGACTTTGGTAGAAGCTGAGGGAGCCCCTGAGATTTAGGGAATTTGGGGGGCTGCTCTTCAGGATGAGGGTCCGTTCTATGGATGCGGAAGGAATCTCAGAGGGAAGGCAGGGAGGGTGGGAGGTGATCAACCAAAGACCTTGTGTGTAGCCCGGCTGGCGTGGCTCAGTGATTGAGCGTCGACCTATGAACCAGGAGGTCCGGGTTCGATTCCCGTCAAGGGCACGGACCTCAGTTGCAGGCTCAATTCCCGGCCCCGGTCAGGGCCCGGGAGGGAGGCAACCAATTGACGTGTCTCTCTCACATCGATGTTCCTCTCTCTCTCTCTCTGTCTCTCCCCCTCCCTGCCACTCTCTCTGGAAATCGATGGGGAAATTTCCTCGGGTGAGGATTAACAACAACAAAAAAATGAGGCAGGGCTGGGCTCCCCCAGGGCTGAGGCTGCGCCCCGAAATGAGGTGTGAGTGCATTTTATTTTATTTTAATTAAACAATTTTTTTTTATTGATGAGAGAGAATCATTGATCGAGTGCCTACTGGGGATCAAGCCGGAAACCCGGGCAAGTGCCCTGACTGGGAATCGAACCGGTGACCTCTTGGCTCACGGGTTGACGCTCAGCCACTGAGCCACACCGGCCGGACTGTTATTTACCTTTTAACCTTAACTACGACACTGTTTGTCCTACGGATGTTTCACATTTTTATTTTATCTTATCTAGTCATTCTTTCTTCCAGGGCTCCTGGGTTCCACTCAGGATTTATTTCGTTTGGAAACGGGCCCAGTGACTTTGGAAGACTGACCGTCCGCGTACCGAAACTCGGTCCGGTCCAGAAGGAACACAAGTCACAGGCCGGCCCCTCCCAGGAAGAGGGCACAGGTCCCCAGCCCCCCCGTCCCCCCGCCCACGGCCAGCGAGGGGGCTACCTCTATGGACCCAGTGAACGCGATCTTGCTGATCCGAGGGTGGGATGACATTGCGGCTCCCACGGTGGGTCCGAAACCGGGCACGATGTTCACCACGCCCGGAGGGAAGCCGACCTAGGAGACCGAGAAGGTACTGAAGGAAGGCCAGGGACCGGCGTCCACCATGGAGCCACGCTTGGGCCCAGAGGGTCATGGCTGAGTGACGTTCCCAAGCAGAGTGGCATCCACCCCACGACCCAAACCCGGTCGGCCAGGGGGCCAGGGTGAGGTGCACAGGCCTCCTTCCGAGCAGCATTTTTCACCCTAAAAAGGCCTCTGAGCACAAAGAGTGGTGGCCTGCTCGGCCGGCGTGGCTCAGTGGTTGAGCATCGACCTATGAGCCAGGAGGTCACGGTTCGATTCCCCGTCAGGGCACATGCCCGGGTTGCGGGCTCCATCCCCACTAGGGGCGTGCAGGAGGCAGCCGATCCATGATTCTCTCTCATCATGGATGTTTCTCTCTCTCTCCCTTCTTCTCTGAGATCAATAAAAATATATATATATATTTTTAAAAAGATGGTGCATCTGACCCTATTAGCTTGGCGGAAGTGACATGAGGAGAACTTCTCTCCCTTTGCAACATAAACACTGGGGACAGAGTGACGGAGCCATGCTGCCTGGTGTGACAGGAGGGAGGTGTCCCTTGGGCCGCTGGTTTCCCTGAAAGGTGGTTGCCTGGGGAGCGAATGATCGCGGGTGAGCCTGGCTGGGTGACAGCTACTTAGGGGAGCTGCTCAGATGACCCCCCAAATGCCAGGCCCAAACCTCTGACTATTCAGTTCCCTCCCAGGTGAAAATTCTTTAGAGAAAACACTTGCTCCTAAAGTAGGTTTAAGACCATCATGCCAGTTACATCCTCTCATGCGGGTCAGTGGGAGGAGCGGAATTGCTTCTAGCAGATCAGTGGGAGGAGCGGAATTGCTTCTAGCAGATCAGTGGGAGGAGCGGAATTGCTTCTCACGGGTCAGTGACCACTGGCAGGAGACAGAACGAACGGGCTCTTGCCAAGTGAAACAGGCGTCACCCCCTTCCCACTCGCGGTTGAGCCGGCTCTGCTGTCACGCACGGCCCAGCTCGGCCGGGCAGCTTTATCTCGCGCCGGCGGCCTGCTCCCGGGGAGTGGGCATGTGACCGAGAACACCTAATATTTTCCTTTTGGACGGCTCACCTCTTTGATCAGAGAGCCGAGGTAGAGGGCGGTGAGGGGCGTCTGTTCGGCCGGCTTCACGACGATGGTGTTGCCACAGCACAGAGCCGGCGCCAACTTCCACACCAGCATCAGCAGAGGGAAGTTCCACTGCAACAGGGCACAGGGGAGCGTGGGGGACCCGGGCCCACCCGCTACCCTGCTCCATGGAGGACACTTGCTTTGGGGCTTAACGGGTAACATAGGAGTTTGCAATGATCAGAATTGCATTCCAGCCTGGTGCTTCCTATGTGTATTCTCGGGGAGGCTAACAGTTACTCTTTGGTAGAAGGGATTCCACGGTGCGTGCACTGCCTCCTCCCCTCGGAGGTTTACATACAATGACATCAGCACCTTAAAGGCTCTGAGAAGGTCTGCAGGATATGTGGGCTCAATCCCCAGTGTGGGGCGTGCAGGAGGCAGCCAGTCAGTGATTCTCTCTCATCATTGATGTTTCTATCTCTCCCTCTCCCTTCCTCTCTGAAATCAATAAAAATATATTTAAAAAAACACACCCCAAAACCAAAAACCTTGGTTCTAACGGGCCCATGGGAGCAGCAGGGGGAAACCCTGTACTTACAGGAGTGATGGCCCCACACACACCTATGGGCTCATGCCGGGTGAAACACACAACGTTGTCATCTGCGAGAGAGGTGACATGGGGGAGAGGACGACACATGAATCTAGCTCAGTGGTTCTCAACCTTCCTAATGCCGCGACCCTTTAATACGGCTCCTCATGTTGTGGTGACCCCCAATTTCATTGTTACATATTGAACATAATGAAAGCAGAGTGATTGATCACAAAAACAATATGGAATTATATATGTGTTTTCCGATGGTCTTAGGCGACCCCTGAGAAAGGGTCGTTCGACCCCCAAAGGGGTCGTGACCCACAGGTGGAGAACCGCTGACCTAGATGAAGAATTTCAAGGGGGAACCAGACAGGACAGTAACCCAGAAGCCCACGAAGGTGTCAGTTCTGAGTCTGGCCTAGGACACAAAGAGGCGGTGTTCAACTCAATTCCAAAAGCAAAAATTCATGCCTGGCCGGTGTGGTTCAGTGGTTAAGCGCCGACCTACGAACCATGAGGTCACGGTTCGATTCCCGGTCAGGGGCACATGCCCGGGTTGCAGGCTCGATCCCCAGTAAAGGGCGTGCAGGAGGCAGCCGATCCAGGATTCTCTCTCATCATGGATGTTTCTCTCTCTCCCTCTCCCTTCCTCCCTGAAAGCAACAAAAAATATTATTTTTTTAAAAAAGCAAAATTCCTTAGTGGCAGGATGGGGGGACAGGGGAGATGGCCAGAGGCCCGCAGAGGAAGGGAAAGGCAGGGCCCCCCCAAGACTCCATTGGAGGCCCAGCAGCCCGCGTCGGCTCACCTGTGGGGATGGTCCGGCCCTGGATCTTGTCTGCCCAGCCCGCAAAGTAGCGGAGGGTTTTGATGCAGCCCTCCAGGTCAATGAAAAAGGCGTGAAGGAACGGCTTGCCCGTGTCCATGGTCTCCAGGGTCTGCAAGGACCAGACATGAGCCTCAGACATCCTCCTTACGTGCCAGGTGGTGAAGAACAGGGGGTGGGCCTCGGGCCGTGGGGGGCGGTGAGGTGGGGGCAGGGAGTTAGGGTCCCCGATCACTGATCTCCACACCTCCCAGTCCTCTGTGTCCCTTAGAGGGCAAGACACCGCATTTACAATAAGACCCGTTCTGACTGTCAGGATGGTTTTTCCTTTTTTTCTTTTATTATTTTAAAAATATTTTTAATTATACTATTTGTTTCTTTTCTTTTTTTTTTTAATCCTCACCAAAGGATATTTTTTCCGTTGATTGTTAGAGAGAGTGGAAGGGAGAGGGAGAGACAGAGAGAAACACTGATGTGAGAGAGACACGTCGAT